CCTCCTCTTCCTCTCCGCAACTGGTTGGTCAACCGCCGCCACCCAGCAGCTGGCAGTCTCTTCACTGCCTAAGTTGTCAGGCGTTTGCTGATGTTGTGCTTAGCAGGCTGTCCTCAACGCGCACTCGTCCTCTTTTGTAGGCATGCACGTGGTTCGTTACTTGCTCTTTCTCATGTGCGTCTTGCGTCCACGGGAACGTCAGAGGGAGCGGCAGTCACTATCGGGGGCGTTCAAGGGTGGGGTGACGACTAGTCACTAGTCGTCACCCCTCCACTAGTCACTAGTCGAGGGGGGATAGTTAGGCTGAGGCCATGGCATCTGCCCGGATTTCTTCGCCCCCTCTTTTTATTCCAATACGTTCCCTGGTCCCCCTCGTCCGCGCACGTGCTTCGGCCCATGATTTCAGAGCTTCCCTCTCGGAATCCCTCCCTCGTGGACGCCCCCGATCTTGTTGTTGCAGAGTCATTCTTTCCGCTCCCCTTTGGTAAGAAGCCCCCCAGCTGGTCCCGGCCGGCCTCAGCAGGCCCCTCCGAGCAGGTCCAGTGGGGCCTCGAAAGGCCCCCCCGAGCAGTCCAGGGCGGTGTCAGCACCTCAACCGTGGGGTGCTGTGCGCCCCATGGGCGCCGCAGGAGGCGGCGCCGAAGCCTCGCCACTCGCCCTCCCCCCTCCTCCTCCTCCTCCTCCTCCTCCTCCTCCTCCTCCTCCTCCTCCTCCCTCCTCCTCCGCCTCCTCCTCCTCCTCCTCCTCCTTCTCCTCCTCCTCTCCCCGCGCCCGACCGTCCGCCCCCGCTATATCTCCCGGCGTGCACCTCAACCCGAGCGCGCCGGGAGTTTCGCCCTCCCGCGCTGCGAAGGCCACGTCCAAGGACCTGCAGGCCGACCAGGACGCGAAGGCCAGGAGGAGGGAGTTGGACGTGAGAGGACGAGTACACCTTAGGCGATGCTTAAGAAAACCTAAGTTTTCGTCCAGAATCTCGATTATTCTTAACTTTTCAATGTAAATCCCAAGATTTTGATAGAAGTTCTGGGTTTTTATTCCAGTTCTGAGACTCTGAATTTCTTAACCCATGGTTTCTTAAGCATTTCGCAGGGTGTACAGCCAAACAGGAGCATGAGGATGAGCAGCTCTCCAGGGGCATCCTCTCATCCGCACAATTCTCGCGGCCCATCCTCAGCCACCGTCGCCGGCCATCCTAGCAGGCCATCCGCGCCCAGAAGGCTTCAGCTTGGGCGCCCAAGTCTTCAGAAGGCTTCAGCTTGGGCATTACTTTTCGCGCGCTCGCTCTCTCTCAGGCCACGGTTCACCTCATGAGTTTGCCTATCGCAGGTCGGCTCGTGGGTGTTCCCGGTTCGCCTGGCGATCTTTGAATCGCATGGCCATTGAAGCCGTGTAGAGTGAAGCTCGCTTGTTTGTCTTGAAGGTACAGCTTGGGCGCCCAACTCCCCTGCATCCTTGCCGCGCATTCCCGTGATCCTGCCGCGCTGTAGGATGAGAGGATGGGGCCAGGAGGCGAAGGATGGGCAGGATGGGGCACGGAGGCGGGAGGAATGCTGGCGAGATGGCGGAAGATGTGGGAGCAGGAGCAGTTGGAGGGAGAGTGAGGATGAGGACGAGGATGAGGAGGAGGCGGGAGGCTGGAGGAGTAGGAGGTGGGTTGCGGGAGGAGGAGGAGGAGGAGGAGGAGGAGGAGGAGGAGGAGGAGGAGGAGGAGCAGGAGGGGAGGAGGAGGAGGAGGAGGAGGAGGAGGAGGTGTGTGAGCGGGAGGCAGGAGGTAGGATGAGAATCAGGAGGGGGGAGAGTGGAGGGTGGAGGTGGACGTGACGGATGACGAGGTGGACGTGGACGTGGTGGGGGGGAGAGGAGGAGGAGGAGGAGGAGGAGGAGGAGGAGGAAGAGGAAGAGGAGGAGATCGATGAAGAGGAGGAGGACGAGGAGGAGGAGGAGGAAGAGGAGGAGGAGGAGGAAGTGGGAGGCGGGAGAAGGAGAAGGAGGAGGAGGAGGAGGAGGAGGACCCGTGGCAACCCAAGACTCAGCAACGATGTTACAACAACCCCTCCCTCCATTTTCCCTTTTTTATCGGTTCCTACAAGGGGTTCATTTTCACTGAGGGAAGTGCCCCGTAGGAGGACAACCGTCTGAAAGTCCTGAACCGTGCAAGAACACCATTCCTGGGACTTCCACGCCGCGGATCAACATTTCTGGTGCGTCCTGACGGTTCCTGAATCGTGCGAGAACGCCGCTCTGGGGTCTTCAACACCGCGACTCAACGCAGTTGTTTCGCTCTGACAGTCCTACATCGTACCAAAACACGGTTTCTGGATCGCCAGCCATACGTAAACTGTTGTAAACTCTTTAGTCGAATCTGCGCGCGGCTCTCAGGCGAGTGCCACACTTTGAAAAGGCATTGCCCTGGATCCGTGAAGCTCGGGTCTCTGCGCGGGGGCCTTCGCAGGGGTCTTCGTACGGGTCGGCGCTCCGGGGCGGGGGGCGCAGCGGGTTG